ATACGTACACGCCATAGCAATATCACAACCTGTAACGGGACAAAAACGTGTCTGCTACATACGTACACGCCATAGCGATATCACAACCTGTAACGGGACAAAAACGGGTCTGCTATATACGTACACGCCATAGCAATATCACAACCTGTAACGGGACAAAAACCTGTCTGCTATATACGTACACGCCATAGCGATATCACAACCTGTAACGGGACAAAAACGTGTCTGCTATATACGTACACGCCATAGCGATATCACAGCAATATAGACATACATAATGATGGTCTTCAGGTAAAGAGTAGTGATAGTTTAGGATTTAGTATTACTTTTAGTACTATTATGTATGCATCAATTATTGAGAAAAAAAAAAACTTTCCCCGATGTGGGGCGAACTCGGGATTATATATGATATACCAGGTAAGCATAAGCATTTTGTCCAATTGATTGACAGAAGCATACTCTTTTCTTGCTGTAGTGAATTGTCAGTGGACTCTCGAAAGAAATATAGGGGGCTGGTGAACCAAACCATTACAAGACCAAGATCAGCAAATGTCTTATTTTGTTTAAACCCCCGATATCGTACTCGTGGTACAAATCATACCTTGACTATCCGTCATTCTGACAGAAGTGTAGGTGGCAGTGCGGCCCACAGCCTCGGCTATGTAGGAGATTTGTGCCACATCTGACAGCAGAACAAATTCTTTGAGCGTGGCTATAGCGGTATCACTCCATGTCGCTTCTCCAGGTAGGGCTACTATGCCATCAAGAACCAAGTGTACTCCCTACCAACGGAACAGATATATACATTAAAGGTAGTTACCTGATGGGTGGAAGTGCCAGTAACCATAACACCACACTAAAAGTTATGTGACATAAAGACAACCACCCCACCACAACTCCACTCCCATGATAGGTGGAAGTGCCAGTAACCATTACACCACACTAAAAGTTATGTGACATAAAGACAACACCCCACCACAACTCCACTCCCATGATGGGTGGAAGTGCTAGTAACTATATTTTCTAGTTAAATTGTCTAGTCCATATCTGGGTAACTGTAAGTGCTACATGGATAATACTTGCATCAATGATGTCACTAGGGAAACTCTACTGAACTCATGCTGCTGATACTGAATTTGACCTATATCTTACTTTTTACAGACTTCCTTGCTATGTGCACCTCAAATATCACGTTAAGAACATGTCTGAAGTCCATATCCGGGTAACAATAGGTACTATAGGACTAACACCATATCCGGGTAACAATAGGTACTATAGTGCTAACACCATATCCGGGTAACAATAGGGGCTATTAGGCCAAACACCATATCCGGGTAACAATAGGGGCTATTAGGCCAAACACCATATCCGGGTAACAATAGGTGCTATTAGGACTAACACCATATCGGGGTAACAATAGGTGCTATAGGACTAAGACCATATCCGGGTAACAATAGGTGCTATAGAGCTAACACCATATCCGGGTAAAAATAGGTACTATAGGACTAACACCATATCCGGGTAACAATAGGTACTATAGAGCTAACACCATATCCGGGTAACAATAGGTACTATAGGACTAACACCATATCCGGGTAACAATAGTTGCTATAGGACTAACACCATATCCGGGTAATAATAGGTGCTATAGGACTAACACCATATCTGGGGAACAATAGGTGCTATAGGACTAACACCATATCTGGGTAACAATAGGTGCTATAGGACTAACTCCATATCCGGGTAACAATAGGTGCTATAGGACTAACACCATATCCGAGTAACAATAGGTACTATTAGGACTAACACCATATCCGGGTAACAATAGGTGCTATAGGACTAACAATCACATCAATGATGCAGCAAGGGTCATGTTTCACATAAGGAAATTCTAGGTAATGATGAGAGCTACATTGATAATAGTTGCATCAAAGAAGTAGCTTAAGGCAATATTCAATTGCAACAAGCTCAGGATAGGTTGGTTTCTTTATTGTATGTCTACCGGTTTCGCCCGAACATGTGGGCTTCTTCAGGACCGAAGTAGCTTGGGTCAATATACTGAATGCATGTTACAGGTGCTGAATTTGACCTTCATTACATTTTTATACTTATATGACTTCCTTTACATTTGTTAAGTCCATATCTGGGTAAATCTAGGAGCTACATGGATGAAATTATTCAATTAAAACCTAAAAATGAGAAACCAAAATAAGTGTCAAGAATCAACGCTTGCTTAGGCTCCGACTCCAATTTCTATAACCTTTGGGTAGAATGATTAGACTATATCAGAGCAAATAAACAGACACCAAATTTCCCAGTCAAAGGAAAGTGAAATACACAGGAAAAACTTTTATAAGTTGTGCTAAAAGTGGTATCTGATGAAATGGAATTGCGGATCAAAACTGAATGCTAAACAATGTAAAAATCATTACTAGTGCAACGTTTCCTGATTTAGATCGACGTACAGTTAGAGGTTCAGACTTCATAGCCAAGTCCAGCTCCTTCATTTGTGATAATGACACATTCTCCTTGTTGCCGAATTCTACGTAGGTAACGTTGACAGTTCCATCTTCTCTAATCGAATCGACACGAGCACGGTACCAGCCAGCATCTTTGGCACTGTATGCAGCATACATCTCACCCAGCCTGACGTCTGTCACAGAGCTCAGTTTCGTTTTGCTAATCTGAACAGGTACAATAAATATTCCAAATAATTACAATGAAAGTTCTCAATGATTACAATGAATGGTACTAGGGATGTCGCAATATATTGGAAATCCAGTGTTTATATTGTAATACACAGGCATATTGTATCATATCCCTATACAAAGATGAATTATCACAGTATTTTTATGAATGATAAGTGTTTTAACTTTGCAAATTACTACATATTCTAACTGATATTTCAATATCCATACACAGGCTATACTAGTGTTGGAAATCAGATTAAATTTCATACATGATGATTGGTTTAAACGAAAATCTTAAATCTGTGTGATCAATATGAAGATATATGAATCAGTGGATAGCATTCCGACATCCTTGTTTTGTTTATATTGAACACCTTTTTCTAACAATAATATAGTGGTATGTATTGAGAAAAAAAAAGGCAAGGAGAACTAAAAGAACCAGTACTATTTGATCTTGCTTGGGTGATTTTGCTAATATATATATTTTTTTCTCATTTTGGTTAATATTATACTCACCATTTCATTGAGTTTATCTGTGATGGACATTCCATGTTTGATCTTATCCACATTGCCTTCCTGTACCCAGATTTCATCAGGACTTGACACATCCATTGTCAGCACCTACAGGTATAGTTAAGGTCAGCACTAATGTAATATCACAGAAATGGTATAACAGGGGGCACCTACAGGTATAGATAAGGTCCGCCCTAATGTCATATCACAGAAATGTTATAACAGGGGGAACCTACAGGTATAGTTAAGGTCAGCACTAATGTAACATCACAGAAATGTTATAACAGGGGGAACCTACAGGTATAGTTAAGGTCAGAACCAATGTATTATCACAGAAATGGTATAACAGGGGGCACCTACAGGTATAGATAAGGTCCGCCCTAATGTCATATCACAGAAATGTTATAACAGGGGGAACCTACAGGTATAGTTAAGGTCAGAACCAATGTAATATCACAGAAATGTTATAACAGAGGGCACCTACAGGTATAGTTAAGGTCAGAACCAATGTATTATCACAGAAATGTTATAACAGGGGGCACCTACAGGTATAGTTAAGGTCAGCATATTGTGTATCAAATTAAGTGCAAAAAAATAAAATAAGGGAACCAAATTTTCATTCAAAGTTTTTCCTATTTTTTAAAAACTATTTACCACTTGCTTGGACCTGTTTATTTATTTATAAAACAGAAATATTTTAACAGACGATGCACTAAAATGTATTACACAAAGAACACTTCTGTTGGATCATATCTTATTTATTTCATCTTTATTTTTTTCCGTAATTTTCTTTCTTCATAAAAAGTCCATCAGGTATTGTTTTCTTTTCCGAAATCATTATCAACCGTACAGTTGTGCGGGAATGAACAGTATCTTGTGCATAGTTTGTGCTCAGCGGTAGTACAGGGATCCTTCAGGAAATCTGAAACATTTTTTAGTGGCCAGTATCGATTTACTTACCAGCACTTTTTCATTCAGAGGAAGTGAACTATAGGCAAGAGGTGGGCTGAAACAGAAGATAAATGTTTTAACACCTTGTCAAGATATCTACAGGTGCTGAATAATTGTATCCAAAGTAACAATTTCTGACCACAAATCCTAACCATACGGAGCCACAGGACTTGAAACGAGGAACATCAATGGAATGACAACATTGACAACTGGACAAATATGTCCGCACAAACATGATTTATTTCAATTAAATTCAACAAAGCAGAATTTAGAGTTCTCGTCATCTTTGAAAGTTTGAAATGAACTGAAATTTAAAGTGTTATATGTGACTCAAATAAAATCACAACCATTGGATTGGGGTTATTAAAAGATTGCTATGAAAAATCTCAAGACTGATCAACTTGAGTCATTGTTTTATGAACATAAGTCCTTACCTAGAGGAAACAGCTTCACTGGCCAGTGTCGACTCTTCAGGAACTTTAACAACTCCAGCTTTCACAAGCTTTCCTTGGACATCTTCACCTATTGGGTTTTTAAAGAAATAACTTACAACAGTAATAATCTGAATTCTTCCTTTCATATACCTGGTCACACACTTTCTTTAAAAGATTATAATTCATCAGATATAGGTCTTTACCTTGATGTAAGGATAACAAGTACAACACATGCAAAGTTTGTACTTTGCTGCCAAGCCTGCAGATTTGAAACTCAACTTTAGAATAGATAAAACTAGAAGGGATGCATTTTGCAATACAGCTTTACATAAAAGTTGGATTTCTTTTAGGATACAAATGCTGTCAAGTTGTTATCTTTCAACACAATTTATGTGCTTTTCTCATGCGTAAACTGTATTCACTGAAATCTGTCAAATGATCATGGATGACAAATGTCTGGTTGGCCTTCTGTATCCATAATCAGTTTAGAGTAGGGACAGTGAATGACAGGTCTCCAGTTAATTCATTCACCCCTGAAGACACATTTGAACTCTTACAATTCAAAGGTTGGAATAGTTCATTATGAAATTTCAGGTGTGAATGAGTTAGGAGTCCTTGTATTCAATTGCCTCACTGATCTTTCTCTTCGATCAGTTGTCTACGATAACATAGGCTATCCACGGTCATATGACAAATGTCAGCCAATAATATTCAGTTGAGAAAAACAGAATGCACTGTCCCACTTCCGAAGCTTTTTTGTTGTGTATTTTTCCAGATTGCTTACATTACTGTTTTGTAAAATAATAAAACAATTGTAGCCTTTAACTTCGGTCAATACCTGGATTTATCGACCAGAGAAAAGAAATATTGACCTCTGACTGCGTCCTCGGTCAATATATCGTTTCTCGGGTTGATAAATCCAGGTATCGACCTCAGCCAAAGGCTATAATTGAATGATAAGTTTTCTGTCCAAAATGTTGTGAGTAATTGTTTTTGCAGGCAATCGCCCCCAGAAGTGAGCCAAATGAGGCTAGTCTTTCCCCATTAACTCCTTTGAAGGTTGACAGATCTGCTAAATACCTAGTAATGGATAAAGACACATACACAATGCAACAATTATTTTAGGTATAATAATCAACATTTTCTAACTTATAATAAAATAGAAATTTTCAAACAATGAAACTTCAGAAGTTGGAATTTTAACAAAAAGATGCGATATCTTGACCAACTATTCCCGAAATCAGACTAGTGAAAGTTTCCCTAAATACCCCGAAAAAACAGTAGTAAATGACAATCTAAGATTAATCTTAATGTAGTAATACACACAACTACAACATTTTTAATACTACATGTACCACTAATCTACATTGACAGGATACACAACAAAGAATTCTTTTAATATGCTAATTTACGAAAAATAGAGAACAACTATAATTATGAATATTGTATTCTGAAAGATCGTCTTGGATGTAATTATAATTCCAACTGACCGTTTCCATCCAGCATGTCGACTACATAACAGTCTCCTTGACCAGAGCGTGCCTTTATCATATACGCCACCCCTGAGGCCATTGTTGGTGGTATGAGGGACAAGAGCACATCGACAGCCTCTCCCCAACCTTCCTTCTTTGGACTCACATCTGCCAGGCTACACTTAACAGCCTATAACAAACATTTTTTACCAATTAATGATATTTCATTTATTTAGAAGTTTTGGTAAAAATATACGATAATCTTACTTCAAGGCTTTTTGTATTATTTTTTTCCTGTACAATGCATCAATTGACGACCAGTAATTTTAAAGTCTGATAGATATTTAAATATCTGCAACACTCTAAACCTTTTTTGTATTTAACTTAATTTGTAAAACATATTTGTATTAAACATTTGAGACCACACAACCGCTATTAGATCAAGTAATAATGGTGCACGTGGCTGGCCACTGAGGAGCCACATAAAGTACCATCTCACTGAATATCCAACCTCCGACATAGCATGGTGACATCTCCGCCACCCTACTTCCATCAGATCAGAGTCACATAGTTCTGACAACTCTAAAATGAATTTGTTTTGTTATAAAAAATACATTTCCTGCACTCTCACTATTTCAAACCCTAAAACTCACCAAAGCAGGCAGAGTCGTCATACTATCTTGCAGTTGGCGCAGTTTGGTGATTGCCACGGTTTCTGTGTTTCCGTAGTCTAAGTAGGTGACTGTGACCATGTCGGACCCCTGTCTGCCATCCACCTTGGCTCGGTACCAGTTACCGTCCAGACTGAACTGGGCCGAGTAGACATCCCCTACCACTGGGGAGGCTACATGTTCACTGGTCTGGTCGTAAATCTGGAAGAAATCAGATTTCAGATTTTACTTTTAAGTTTTGGTGAAATTTGTTTTACATCCTATACAGAAATTTACAGATCTGTAAAAAAAATTACTGTGGCATTCCTATGAACTTATGGTCTAATCAAAAACATTTTATACAGTATAACATTCAATACCGAGGAGGAATAAGTTGAATACCAACGGATAATTTCTTGGATGTTTTGGGGATTTCCAGCATGTTTACTGTTTGTTGATCATATAACATTGGTGGTGAATCAGATAATTTAAGAACATTTTGTGTTATTTTGGCTTTAAATATTTGTGCATGCTTTTTTTTATCTAACAGGTTCTATGTGTTCTGCCTGATTAAGATAATCAATTCCTTTTCAAAAATTATGATGGGGGAAAAATGCCTGTATCTCCTTGGAAATAGTTTCAGACTTCTGTATCATTCATATGAGTGATGTCCCCGACCCATTATACCAGTAATAGATAATGATGTTTTTGTAGGAAATTCTTATATACAATATCCTTACTATTTCCTAACAAAACATGAATATTCAGATAATTTATACCTTTTTTCTTGGTCTTGATTTGTCTAAGATAAGTGAGTTATTCATATCTAAATCATGCTAAAATAAACATTCAAGTCAGGTTTTCATTTTTTGGGGGGAGCATATAAAGTATATTAATCACCAGAAAAATAGAACAAGAATTATTACTTGCAATAGCAATCTGTACTTAAAATTCAGTGTTTGTTAAGGAAGTTTCCAGCTAATTGGAACATCAAAGACAATGGTTTTCTGCATAAAAATTTGGACGTACTGTTTTCATTTCATCCATGAGAAGGGTCAGAGCCTGGATGTTTTCTTCATTAGGTTGTTGTATCCATATGTTGTGTGGGTCAATCACTTCTGATACCCAAACCTGATAATCATAAGATGTGTAATTACATACATGTACTGGTGCACTAATGTGCATTGATGCCAAGGTTAATTCTGAAGCACTAACCACAAATCAAAGTACTGAAAGTACTGTAAGCTAAGGCAAAAGATATTATATATATTATTTTTGAAATGGAGAACAAAATAAAGACGAAGTTCTCATCATATTGTACAGAAGGATTTACTGTTAATTTGTTATTAATCATAGTTTTATGTAAAAGTGTACCACTGTGAAGTTATTCTTCTTGTGTGCACAGTATATCTTTATAGGTTTGCCAGAAGAGGGGTACCAAGTTTCCTCTAGAATATATCATTTTAAACCTTTGGATAATTAATTTGCATAGGAATTAGGAATTGCTTCCCTTTGTCAGTACAATGTATTTCATAGAACATTAAAAACTGAAACTGGCATTTACCCCTTTGACCAATACCTGATTATTTTAAACCATTAAATAGATTATGCACAGATTGTGTTCATCTTTGAACTTTGCCTTTGTTGTTGAATAAGATATCAACCAAGTTTCTTCAGAATCTTGCCTTATCTGACAAAGTTACTTGGCAAAAACCATTGACCAATCAGAGTACAGTATGCTAATTAATTATGCATGGATTTCACTCAACTTTGAACTTATCGTCTAAGTTTGTATATTGATCAATATATATTCAAGCAAGTTATCTTGTAAAGTGTGGACATCGACCAGCGTATGCATGCTTTTTAATACGTGTGAATTTTGTTCAAGTTTCAATTTTTCATCAGTCTGTGTATATTGTTACAGAACAATATTTATAAGGATGTTAACTTGCTGAAACTAAATTGTGGATAGACAAGTGAATGACTGCTACCCATACATTTACAAGTCTCTCAATAATTTTGAAAAGCTTTTAAATACAGTGTTTTACATATTCACTGCAGTGAAAAGGTCTCTTCTTATGAAAAATGGAACTATTTTGAATCTGTGTTCCTAGGAACAAATAAGATAAAAAGCACTCTAATACAATATGATACATTGTTGTATGTTTCAATATTGCATAAGATAATAAAATATAAACATACATGCTCACACACACACAAGATTAGAAGAGTTACATTATTTTCCCTCTATTTCCATTGCATAAATTCTTCACAAAGAAAACAACAACTTTATAGCATATGTTCAGCTTTATCATCTTCATAGGCTAGCATTTGAAATAAGATGCACATATTAATTTCAAATACATTTTAAAAGAGTACTGCAAATGTACCAGCTAGAACACATACTATGTTATTACAGTTGTCATGATTGTTGGTTTCAGAACTGATAGCATTGTGCAACAAATGTTGACAACAGGACTTATTGAAAGTTGAGGTTGCTTGTGTATATGCAAACAGGTAGTGCATGATTTAATGTTGAGAATGATGGATCAAGGTTTATAAAATTTGGTTTGAATACTTAGTTAGGAATGCACTGACAATTTCTCTGTCACATGTACATGAACAGGTTGTGAAGCTGTAGCCTTCACCTTGACTGAATGAAATTGACCTTAAAACTGTCTTGAACAATTGATGTATGAAATTTAGAAATGAAGTTTCAAGAAATATGGTTGAAAACTTAAGAAATAATTGCTTTCATTGACATTGATACAATCTTGTGTGCTATCCCTCTCATATATCACACAAGATTTAATATCAAATGTTGGACACAGTAAAATCGAGCGAAGTTAACAAATATCAAGTTACATATTATAACTTTTATTTTATTTTATTGATATTGATCATAAGCATTGTTAAAAGTACAATGTATACCAGGGATCTTACATTTCTTTTACTGCAGAACATTTGCGTTGACTTTTAATTCACTGGACAAAAACTAAAAGGAAGCCATGACCAGTATTTCTATCTTTAAAAACATACTTTTAATGTTTTTCCAATTTGCTCCCACCACCCATAGTGTTATATTGATCAAAACAAACGTAGTTTCCAACATTTGTGCCCCTAGTCAGTAGGGGCTGTTCAATCACATTCATCAGGATTTCAGCATCAAGTAGGGGTGTTCAATCACATTCATCAGGCTTTCAGCATCAATATTCACAGATTAAATTTGTCCCAAGAAAAGATCACGGACTTTTCCATTAAGGAAAAGTTTGCGAGGAAGCATTTGAACTACATTTGAACTATTCGCTGATGGAAGAATCTGTGTACTCGGCTTTCATGTGTCCGAGAGAAAATGATTTAGTCAGAGGTTCCTCCTCTATAAAGTAACTGACAGACTTCAAAATGTCATGTCACTGTTGGTACAGTTCTTGCAGCCTTTTGAAAAAGTTCATGAAGTCCTCAAAGGTATGAGAGAGTTGGTTCAGTTCCTATTTCTCATCCTCCTTTCTCCCATCAATAACCATACCTGTCTGTTGTAATATTGATTGCTTTTTCCGCCTAAAATAGAACATAGTTACCATATAATTTCTGCACCAGCAATAATGTTTAGAGACAATATTCAAACAAATAGGAGGCATAGCAATATGAGCTTGTATAGTGAGAAATAAGGCATTAAAGCTGCAGAGTTCAGTAAAATGTTTCAAAAACATTTCAATAAGTCAATCTCTTTGGTAGCAGAACTAAATATAAACAAAATGTACATTAAATTCAACTTATAACAGCACATCATATGGGGGCTTAAGACATCTAATTCCTTAGGTGGTAAAACATGTGTACATAAAAAGGTACCAGTAAAAACAAAACAAAATTAGTTTAAACACACGCACTTAGATATTCACGGTTTTCATTAATACAAAAGATGAAGCAGAACATCACTCTCCCCTGGTTGTTTCCAGAAAGAAGAAATTAACCAGGAAACATGGAGATGTCCATTGCACTCCTTTATTTTGCTTACAGTGTGCAAATGTGCCTACTATGTGCTAATAAGCTTTCCATACTATGGTTTTGTTTTTTATGTGCTGTATGCAAATGTTCTAAATGTGCTTAAATGACCAATGCGCTGATGTGCTTACTGTGTGCAATGTGCCTATTAAGTGCTTTCCAAGTGATAAACTCTTTTTCTTTGCTTACAGTATAGTACATGTACATACATGTTTTTTTTTATTTTTCCATGTTGTACTATTTTGGTCTCTGTTATTATACTCATGTTTTGTCGTAATACAAGCTCTTTGTAGCTTATGTTGTATGTTTTGCAATTTCTAGATGGTCAATTTTAAATCAGTTCAGTGATTTAAATTCTAAAATATATTTTTTTATTTTTTTTCTTATATTTCAAGTTCATAAAATATTTTTAGTATTAATTGTCACACCGTAATAAAGTTTTAAGAGAAAAGGACGTTTGCACGATCAAGCCTTATTATAGGAGCATCGAAATGAGCATTTTATTCAATTTACACCTATTTGTTAGTTGTGTAATTTACAGCTTATAATATGCCATCAATATATAATTCATTCAAACTCTGTTCAATATTTTCCCCCTCCAAAAATAAGGGGAGGAGTATAAAAATAGCAAAATTTCGAAAGAAAAATAGTCAACATGTTCTGTCAAGATTAAGGTAGACCTATGGCTTGGGCATAAACAGAATAATAGACTACACGACACAGGTGCGCTCTGGTTGAAGTTAGGGTTAATTACGTCTTAAATATTGCCTCGAATAGTACGGGTAGGTCTCTCAAAAAGCTATTCCGAGTCATCTTTTTTTGTACATGTCATCAATAAAAAAAAATGTACATGTCATCAATAAATAATTCTTTCCAACTCCATTCAATATTTTCCCCCTCCGTAAATAAGGGGAGGGTTATAAAAAGGACAAAATTTTGAGAAAAAAATAGTTAACATTTTCTGTCAAGATTAAGGTAGACCTATGGCTTGGGTATAAAGTAAAACAGATTTTTTTTGTCATTTCCTTTAAGTATATGGCCTCAGACCACAAATACACTTCCAGGTCGTTGTACACGTATGAAGTGGGTGAGGACATTTCTGGCTGAGTACTAAATAATTGTTTCTATCTGATCTATGACAGATATGTACAGGTTTTTTACATTCAACAATATCTATTCTGGTGATTACAATTTTTGTTTGACAAAGTTTTCAAGTATATATTCACAGCAGGACACAACGAGTGATGAGGTTTGAAGTTGCACATTGATATATTGGGTACTTTCCCTAGGAAGATCCTGGTCTGCAGTACATGCATGTAAGGTGACAGTACCCAAATCGGATCACCAAATCATTTTTTTTTTTAACATTGAAAAATCTGAGGAGGAATTGAAATCATTTATGGTTGTATCAAAAAGAGATGTTCGATGGGTGTTCTAACGAACGAAATTAGTACCTGGGGCTCACTTGAGATATTTGTAGAACGTTTTGAAGTCACCAATTAGCGTCTCCGGTTTTTGCAAATGTCGGGACCCAAACGGATGGCTTTTAAAATTTTGCAGTATTGTACGCTTCAAATGTATTTTTATTGTCAGCATATTCAAAACATTTTATGATGACGTTTTAAATTTATATGACAAAAAGTATTTCTATAGTATGATTTTATTCCCATAGTCCAAAACAGATTGCATAGTCGCAAGGGGTCGCCATTTTTAAAAACGTAAACAAAACATTGACTTTTGAGTTTGATAAACGTTTTCTTGCGCTATTTGAACTTAAAACCTAATTATCTGTAGACAAAAATCGGTAAATGGCTATCTATTCTAAGACTACATCAATAATATAACTGATTTGTTGACACATTTAGTTATGGATAAGTATTTTTGCAAAAAGTGATCCGATTTGGGTATTGCCACCCTAAATTAATTTGTAGTTCCTGCCAGGCTAAAAATCAGCAACCCTCGATCATCTGATGGGTTATAGAAGTGATTTAGATACTCCCCATACACAAAAATATTGTACCATTCTATGATAACACAGGGAATTGTATGGCTCATAGTGACCAACAACTACGGCATGTTATTGGCTATGACGATCGCATTTATAAGCCGGGGGAGGAGCCCCGACGTCACGGACAATGAATTCGTATGTAAACAAGTTTTAGGGGTAAACAAACAGTCATAATTTGATACCGTCTCACTGAACTTACTACTCTTACTACAATCCGACTATATAAACCTTCATGATGCGATGACACATCTTTATTTTAGCAAACACATTGTGAAAAATCGAAAATGATGTAATGGCGGCTAATGGTGGATGGTGGTATGTTGTTGTAAAAAAAAGTCGTATGGACCAAAAATGTGATGGTGATAGAAAACGTAATTTACACAAACGATAGATAAAATATAAACATATTCAGTACTTACATTTTTTTCTGCCGATGGCAACAGAATTGAGACGATGGTTGTTGATGATGTTGAGAGGTCGTTGAGAGGTCAGCTGCTATCAATCGGCAATCAGGAAGATGTAAACATCCGGTTGCATCACGGGTATATTGAGGCCGAACATTTCCGAAAATTTCGAAACTTTTAACTGCCTTGCTAACGATACAAAACGTATTTTGAAGTCGAAAAAAATATATTTAGTTAATATTTACCGTTTTATTTTTGTTTTTGATAAACCACGTATAAAACATTTTATTAATCACTATATTTTTACCGGAAGTTGCGTGTAGCTTGCATGACCTAGTCAAGTGGCAGTTCCCGATTGAGATAATCAGGGTGCATTTTCAAAAAGAATATGACGTTGTGATAAGATCATATGTTCTACCAAGGAAAGGAATGATATTTACAAGCCATTCAAGTGCATTTGAGTCCAAAGTTACGCATAATAAAGACAGTAGGTCCGGTATTTGATTCAATTTAGTACCATTACGTACCGCTAGAGCGGCGTCTGTGTGAAAACGACATTTATGAATATCTTGAGCTCATTAACTAAAGTAATACCAATAGCTGGCGGCTAACGCCTTAGCTAAAAATCACATAGAATGATGCTGTACTCACAACATATGATGTAACAATTACACAAATGGGTGTTTTGTTTAATTCATTAGTGAGTACATTCATACAGTGCTCTAAACATTAATATCACCAATACCATAGTGGTTGTTTTCCCCTCCAACTTTACTGGCAATTTTTACATTTCTAAGCTGAATTTGTCACTACCAGGTATATTATAAGTTGTCTTTTTCCATTTATTTCTTACGTTATTTGGAGAAATCATCCCAACCTTTCCAATACATCAAACAATAAACCATGGCAGGTAAACTGGTATCCCTTTTTGCAACCGACTACCATAAAAGACTGATTCTCCAAATTCTCGACAGCATAGAACAATATATATATTGAAATATCAACTTTTTAATTCATGAAATTAATCTTTAGGCACTTCACAGTACTTACGAATTTACATATAGTGTCCCACAGTTAACCACGTGGGTATCTACATACATATACATGGAACAACCCATTTTATGTACAAGGATATCCATCATTCATTTTGTATGTAACGTCAAATGAACAAATATCTCTCCACAATTCTAGATTGATACCGGTCATATAAGCGTCCTGTTTGAATTTAGAAAATGCTGCTAGCTTTGTTTGTGACTAATTTAAACTTTCTCTATCTTGGATCTCCTGTCAGTTGTCTGCATTCAAAAGTTGAAAGGGTTAAGTGTAATACAATTTCGAAGTTTAAATTTCACCTGAATATCAGAGCCGATTGGAATCTCGGAAAGTCTCAAGCATTTTCCACGCGCTTGTTTTGGCACTGAAGGTGTTGGAGGTGTTTTGATCATGGGCTCTTTTGTATCAGCAGCACGTCTCTGAACTTGGAGCGGGACCATGTCTGGTGAAGCTGTAAAACATGTGGCATTTCAAAATAGCAAAAAACAAATTTTTCTCAAATGCTATTGAAGGTTAAATGTAGCCAAAGCAGATGAAAAATTCACAATTCCTGAATGCAATTAAGTACCGAGTCAAAGGGTCCTAACATTTAAAAATAAAATCCAAATTCAAGACTTCTTGGCTCTTACAATGGTAAATTGTCACAGACATTTTAAAAGATTCGAAATTTCACAAATCATGGTTCTCAATGCATTTCAAAGTACCGAGTCAAAGTGCCATCAAATTCAAAAGAGTTCTTGGCTGTTGCTTTGGTAAGTTGTCGTTGAAATCTTAAAAGATTAGGTAAAATATTGTTCATGCACAAACGTATTTCCAAGCACTGAGCAATATACTGTATTTTGGTCATAGCCAGAAACAGATTTACAATTTAACTACATATGTCATACAGTTAACAACGCCACCAGATCCTGATCATAAACGTTAACAATTAACTTATAAAGATTCAAGTAAGTTCTGTGCAGACCCATGGGAGGTGCTTTGCTACTGTGTTTTTCTGCATTCTCCTGTTGTGGTGGCGACGCCTTTGTGGTCGGAGACTTAGTCCCCGCCCCCTTAGGACTAGACGACTTTTCAGACTTTGGGGGAGTTTTCTCCTGTGGTTTTGGTTGCTTTCCTGTTTTGCCTTCTATTTCTGCCTGGGGTGCTCCCTGTGTCGCATCTTTCTTCGCTTCTTCCATTTTTTCAAGGGCACCTCCAGTGACCATTTTCTAGAAAGTGGAAAGTCAGGAGAGATCATTAGGATCATGCTACAAACTCTGGTCCCCTCCCCCCTCTCCACTCCCTGGTAGAATATATTTTGCCATTGTCCCCTACCCCGCCCAAAGCATGATACCTATGTCTGCTAGACCCTTCTGTGATACAATAAGAAATATTCTGCCCCCTTCATCAGTGTCATGATAAAATGTAAGTCTACCATCCTTCCACATGGCGTTATTTAACGTCACAGTGTGGTGTCAACTAGCAGTGCACCCTTTTGCACTGAACTTGGCAAGAAGCTATATTACTTATCATTAACAGGAATTTGACTGGGGTGTCAGTGGAAACTAGCAGTGCACCCTTTTGCACAGAACTTGACAAGAAGCTATATTACTTATCATTAACAGGAATTTGACTGGGGTGTCAGTGTAAACTAGCAGTGCACCCTTTTGCACAGCACTTGGTAAGAAGCTATATTACTGGGGTGTCAGCGTAAATGAATTATCAAACACATATTACGTAACTACTCATATTAAACTTTGTCCATTTCAAAATCTGTTTGAAAAATTGCCATTCTTAACCCGTCATCATAAAAATTCTCGATTCCAAAACCACAGACAACAACAATATTTTTCATTTTGCTATGCTGACCCACTGATTCAATACAAACCTGTATTAAATCCTCTCCTATTGAAATTTCACCAAATACTTCATCTTCTTTTTTCATTTGCCTGGAAAGAAATATATTGTGTAAACTAATATATTTATCAAAAGTATGAAAATTCCCTGCAATATACACGTTATTAGGACTATTTTTCTTGACTAATCATTGGTGTACATATTCTGCAAGACAATCCTATTACGTTAGGGTGTAGTGTTCTTACTTAAGGAAGACAGCCCCATTACACTAGGGTGTAGTGTTCTTACTCAGGGACAATCCCCTTACATTAGGGTGTGGTGTTCTTACTTAAGGAAGACAGCCCCCTTACACTATAGGGTGTAGTGTTCTTACTTGAGGAAGGACAATCCCCTTACATTAGGGTGTAGTGTTCTTTCTTAGGGAAGACAGCCCCATTACACTAGGGTGTAGTGTTCTTACTTGAGGAAGGACAATCCCCTTACAGTAGGGTGTAGGGTTCTTACTTAAGGAAGACAGACCCTTACACTAGGGTGTAGTGTTCTTACTTACGGAAGACAGCCCCATTACACTAGGGTGTAGTGTTCTTACTTAAGAAAGACAGCCCCATTACACTAGGGTGTAGTGTTCTTACTTAAGGAAGACAACCCCATTACACTAGGGTGTAGTGTTCTTACTTAAGGAAGACAGCCTCATTACACTAGGGTGTAGTGTTCTTACTTGAGGAAGGACAATCCCCTTACACTAGGGTGTAGTGTTCTTACTTAAGAAAGACAACCCCATTACACTAGGGTGTAGTGTTCTTACTTGAGGAAGGACAATACCCTTACACTAGGGTGTAGTGTTCTTACTTAAGGAAGACAACTAGGGTGTAGTGTTCTTACTTAAGGAAGACAGCCTCATTACACTAGCCTGTAGTGTTCTTACTTGAGGAAGGACAATACCCTTACACTAGGGGGTAGTGTTCTTAAGGAAGGACAATCCCCTTACATTAGGGTGTAGTGTTCCTACTTAAGGAAGACAGTCCAATTACACTAGGATTTAGTGTTCTTACTTAAGGAAGGCAGTCCCATTACACTAGGGACTATAGGGTGTAGTGTTCTTACTTAAGGAAGACAACCCCCTTACACTAGGGTGTACTGTTCTTACTTAAGGAAGACAACCCCATTACACTAGGGTGTAGTGTTCTTACTTAAGGAAGACAGCCCCATTACACTAGGGTGTAGTGTTCTTACTTAAGGAAGACAACCCCATTACACTAGGGTGTAGTGTTCTTACTTAAGGAAGACAGCCCCATTACACTAGGGTGTAGTGTTCTTACTTAAGGAAGACAGCCCCATTACACTAGGGTGTAGTGTTCTTACTTAAGGAAGACAGCCCCATTACACTAGGGTGTAGTGTTCTTACTTAAGGAAGACAGCCCCATTACACTAGGGTGTAGTGTTCTTACTTAAGGAAGACAGCCCCATTACACTAGGGTGTAGTGTTCTTACTTAAGGAAGACAGCCCCATTACACTAGGGTGTAGTGTTCTTACTTAAGGAAGACAGCCCCATTACACTAGGGTGTAGTGTTCTTACTTAAGGAAGACAGCCCCATTACACTAGGGTGTAGTGTTCTTACTTAAGGAAGACAGCCCCATTACACTAGGGTGTAGTGTTCTTACTTAAGGAAGACAGCCCCATTACACTAGGGTGTAGTGTTCTTACTTAAGGAGGACAGCCCCATTACACTAGGGTGTAGTGTTCTTACTTAAGGAAGACAGCCCCATTACACTAGGGTGTAGTGTTCTTACTTAAGGAAGACAGCCCCATTACACTAGGGTGTAGTGTTCTTACTTAAGGAAGACAGCCCCATTACACTAGGGTGTAGTGTTCTTACTTAAGGAAGACAGCCCCATTACACTAGGGTGTAGTGTTCTTACTTAAGGAAGACAGCCCCATTACACTAGGGTGTAGTGTTCTTACTTAAGGAAGACAGCCCCATTACACTAGGGTGTAGTGTTCTTACTTAAGGAAGACAGCCCCATTACACTAGGGTGTAGTGTTCTTACTTAAGGAAGACAGCCCCATTACACTAGGGTGTAGTGTTCTTACTTAAGGAAGACAGCCCCATTACACTAGGGTGTAGTGTTCTTACTTAAGGAAGACAGCCCCATTACACTAGGGTGTAGTGTTCTTACTTAAGGAAGACAGCCCCATTACACTAGGGTGTAGTGTTCTTACTTAAGGAAGACAGCCCCATTACACTAGGGTGTAGTGTTCTTACTTAAGGAAGACAGCCCCATTACACTAGGGTGTAGTGTTCTTACTTAAGGAAGACAGCCCCATTACACTAGGGTGTAGTGTTCTTACTTAAGGAAGACAGCCCCATTACACTAGGGTGTAGTGTTCTTACTTAAGGAAGACAGCCCCATTACACTAGGGTGTAGTGTTCTTACTTAAGGAAGACAGCCCCATTACACTAGGGTGTAGTGTTCTTACTTAAGGAAGACAGCCCCATTACACTAGGGTGTAGTGTTCTTACTTAAGGAAGACAGCCCCATTACACTAGGGTGTAGTGTTCTTACTTAAGGAAGACAGCCCCATTACACTAGGGTGTAGTGTTCTTACTTAAGGAAGACAACCCCATTACACTAGGGTGTAGTGTTCTTACTTAAGGAAGACAGCCCCATTACACTAGGGTGTAGTGTTCTTACTTAAGGAAGACAGCCCCATTACACTAGGGTGTAGTGTTCTTACTTAAGGAAGACAGCCCCATTACACTAGGGTGTAGTGTTCTTACTTAAGGAAGACAGCCCCATTACACTAGGGTGTAGTGTTCTTACTTAAGGAAGACAGCCCCATTACACTAGGGTGTAGTGTTCTTACTTAAGGAAGACAGCCCCATTACACTAGGGTGTAGTGTTCTTACTTAAGGAAGACAGCCCCATTACACTAGGGTGTAGTGTTCTTACTTAAGGAAGACAGCCCCATTACACTAGGGTGTAGTGTTCTTACTTAAGGAAGACAGCCCCATTACACTAGGGTGTAGTGTTCTTACTTAAGGAAGACAGCCCCATTACACTAGGGTGTAGTGTTCTTACTTAAGGAAGACAGCCCCATTACACTAGGGTGTAGTGTTCTTACTTAAGGAAGACAACCCCATTACACTAGGGTGTAGTGTTCTTACTTAAGGAAGACAGCCCCATTACACTAGGGTGTAGTGTTCTTACTTAAGGAAGACAACCCCATTACACTAGGGTGTAGTGTTCTTACTTAAGGAAGACAGCCCCATTACACTAGGGTGTAGTGTTCTTACTTAAGGAAGACAGCCCCATTACACTAGGGTGTAGTGTTCTTACTTAAGGAAGACAGCCCCATTACACTAGGGTGTAGTGTTCTTACTTAAGGAAGACAACCCCATTACACTAGGGTGTAGTGTTCTTACTTAAGGAAGACAGCCCCATTACACTATAGCTAGGGTGTAGTGTTCTTACTTAAGGAGGACAGCCCCATTACACTAGGGTGTAGTGTTCTTACTTAAGGAAGACAGCTCCATTACACTAGGTTGTAGTGTTCTTACTTAAGGAAGACAACCTCATTACACTAGGGTGTAGTGTTCTTACTTATGGAAGGCCTGTATCTCTTTACAGCGCTCCTTGTGATCATCCCAGTGAGCCTTCTGACAATCTACACAACAGTACGTTGTCTTGCACTTGCTGCACTGGAAGCTCCCTGAAAATTTTAAATTAACAAATTGATCAGATTGTATCAGCAAAATCTTAAATCCAATACAATATACTGAAAGCAGGATACTTTCAACAAGGCATCACAAGTGATACAAATCTTGTCGCATTCACACATTGTGACATATGTAAGAGGATATGAAGTTGCTAGAACGATGACAAAGTTTTTCTAGAAACAGTAACAGTGACCTTGAACATAGAAACCTGAAATGCAAAGTTTGCGAGATTTAAGTTGTTGCAATCCCCTTCATATGTTCAACATTAAATGTACAAACTCTGTAACATAAGCAACATTGATGAATGACATGATTTTTTTCAGAGTCATGTCAAATAAAAAAGTTGGTATGACCAGAATATTTTATATCCAGTTTTCTCCTAATAGTTACAGTAAAATCCTCCCATTCATAAATTGTGTCTTGTTCCTGTGGGATAGACGTATTACATGCAAAATTTCTATTTACCTGGTTTTTCACAGAGAGCACATGGGTGGGTTTCAATCTTTTGTTTGGGCATTGCTTTGCCCGCTGAAATAAAACAATAAAAAATGCTTTTAGAAAGATAACAAACGCTAAAGAAATAAAGTAAAAACTTCCATTTCTCATGTCAGTGTACTAGTAACTAATTGACATTTTCAAAAGAGTAGCTTTTATCTGACAAAATAGTTTTCTTTACAAAATTGAAACGAAGCTTTTTAAAAATTGGATGCAAAATGTGAAAATTTCTCGAAATTCCTTTTATATTTCTTTATATTCATGAAAAACTATCTTCAGCCTAAATCTCATTCAGTGAGAATGCAAATACTTACGAATTGAGTTCAGAGATTCCATGCTACCAGGATGAGAACTTTGGCACTCAAAAGGAACTTGGAACGGGCCTTGATTAGGGAAGTTGCCTTGCCTGGCACCTCTGAAGTTCTCGTTGTTCATATAGGGCTGCCCACGTCCGTTACCTTCATGGTGTTTTTTGTTAAAATGTCTCTGTCCTCCAGCCCCATGGTAGTTGCCCCTGGGTTGATAAGATGGACCACCCTGTGGATAGCCACGGCCATAGCCACCCTGATATCTAAAGTCCTCATAGTAAGGATTTGGGAAATGATGTTGAACTCCTCGACCCCTCCTGGGAGATCCGTAGTAGCCTCTTCTTTGACCTTGCATGAAATTCTCTATAATGTTGAAACGTTCATTCAGAGTTGGACACGTTTGACAGAGTAACACAGCAGGATCTGCAGATTGCAGTTCATTCTCAATAGCAACTGCTTGGAAAGAGAAAGTAGAAACTCTCATCAATCACAGGAATGTTGTTTTGTAAAAACATTAATTTCTTATATAAAACATAAAATAAAGAAAAACTAGACTAGTTAACAAAAATGTATTCAACTAATAATACTGTGAAAAGATTATCAATTCTTTAATATACAATTAACGAAAGTATAGATGTTGTAGCATTTTCTACTCTTTATATCTTTTAAACACCAGTAATATGAGGACAAGCTCTCATAAATAATAAGGTAATGAAAAGTAACTGTACTAAATACCAAGATAATTAGGTCTAACTTTACTAAAGAGGCTTAACTGCACTTTATGAAAGTCAAACGAATCAAAACATAACTCTGGAACAGTTAAAACGGTCCAGCATAATCATCTTATGTTGCTGGAGCCGTATTTCAGATAAATCTAATAGTTAGAAATGTAAGCTTGTGACATAAAAACTTGTAGAGATGAACTGGTAATTTGTTATTACAAGGTTGACAGTGACAATTTGACAGGGACTAACTTAAAACATAAATATAAGCAAAATATGCATGCAGACACATAGCAATCACATTTTTCAATGGCAAAATACATACAATTCTTAAGAGCAATCTGGTTTTTTTTCTTAAAGTGAAGGTACCACTGTGTTTCTAATGAAATACACAGGTGTAACACCGCAATACATTTTGGAGATTGAGAAAAGAACAATCTCAATATTAACAGTAACTAAACAATCTTTTGTATTTCTTATGCATTCTGCCACTACAAGCACACTTTCAATGCAAGAAGTCCAGTGAATATAAGGAAGGGAAGTGAGAAATTTAACACCAAAGCAGGTTTCGATAAACAGCAGCAAAACAGCAGTAAAGTCAATAAAGGGGTTTTAAGCAAAATCAAAAATCGTAAAATGTCGGGGTAAACCTGCACATCAGACCAGCATAATGCACCCAGAGACACAAGATATTGTCAGGGTTACCTTGTCTGCCATATTGAGTCGTGCCCCACATGTGTGACATCCTGCCACGGTTGCCATGTTGATAAGGAGAAGTACCAACTATACCTGGAGAGTTTGAATGATAGGACTGTGGTGGATATGGCGAGTTTGGTGAGTAACCGAGTAATCCTATTCCCCTTGAAGCCCATTCATGCATGTGAGGGTTGTGGCTACCCTCATAAGGGTAGCCTCCACTAACATATTCACTGGCTGGCAGAGGATACTGCTGTGCACTGAGAAATGAATATTCAATGTTTTTTAGCTGAATCAACTAATATTGAGGATCAGAAAAATTACACCTGTAAAATCTCAAGTGAAAAGTCACTAGGCTCGATTTACGCAATATTCCAATAAGTGATTGTTATTGCTGAATTTACTGTGTATTCAAATTAGTGTTTTTTGTTGCTGAATTAACTGTATATTCAATTAATTTATTTTTATTGCTGAATTTACTGTGTATTCAAATAAATGATTTTTATTGCTGGATTTAATGTACATTCAAATAATTTATTTTAATTTCTGGATTTATTGTATATTCAATTGATTAATTAATTTGCTGGATTAACTGTTTTATCAAACACATATTCTATTCCCGACTCAAAACTACTTACCCAGCTCTATCTATTACGTGTCCATTGCTCATGTCTTGATTGTTCTTTTTCTTCCCCATGGTACTGCCATTCACCTGGAAACAGCAACTCAACACCCTCAAAAACTACTACAAGAAGTAAGCCATGATTATCTGCCACTTATCCATTACTAAGGTCTACAGTATACTTGGTCTAAGAAATAGGCATGGCCTGGTTTGTAGCTACCCGAGGAAATTTACTATTTTACCAATATTAATTTGCCTCAAAACTCGTTCGGAAATGAAGGTATTCAAGCAATGACCAAGAAAACTATGAAAATATAAATGCGACCTTGACCTAGGCATACTGAAACACAAACTCATTAGAGGTATTCTCATACCTGGTGAGCACTGTATCAAATTTTATCAAAATCAGTTCAGAAACTAGAATTATGTCAGTGACATTAAAGCCGCTCACCACTTTAAATTTAATTGCTTCAGTAACACGTTGAGCATCAATATCTACTATAATACCTTAGATATGTGTTCTGTATTCTGCTAATTGAAAATCAGGTCATGTGATGATGTTGCCTTTGGAATTTCCAAAATCTATCACCTCTTAAATGATTCATTAAACATATTTCTAACTCTCCTCTTTTTTCACCCTCTTTTGTGACGCATTGTTGTAATTTTCATTAATTAGCATCCTCCAATGATGTGACATGAGCATTTACGTGCAGAATGGCAATCAGTGAATGGTTAATTAAGAATACCTGGTAGGTGTATTTTGTGCTTGTGAAATGAGTAGTGGGAAAACATGCATGGAGAAACGAGACATTGTACTCCTTTTATTTTTATTTATTTTTTATTCATATTAATATATATGTAGTGACTTTATTTACTGTCATTGAATATACAATTCATCACAAAATCTCACAAATATTCTTGGAATATATTTAAATTATATTTCTCAATGCGACTTTACCAATGTAAGAGCTATTTCCCTTACACCGGAATGGATAATATTTTGACACAGCGGGAATTCTTGTCAAACAGTAGCGGCAGTTGTGTCATGTTCTTAAATTATTTCATTTTCATAAATAAATACACCATAAATAGCATGCTGTGTTACAGAAATGTTTGATAAGCATACACAGTTCACATATCGTCTCGTCTCAGAGCCACGTCCGTGGTAGCAACGATAGTTTATTACCATTATCAACCGAAGCATGATATGTCATATTACGTTCCCGTTTGAAACATCAAAATAGAGGTTATACTTCATCACTCATACGGTTTATAAGTATATATATTTATTTATTCCTTTATAAGTATATATATTTACTTCTTCCTTGTAATTACAAAATATAAAAGCTAGACCGTACAGACAGCGTCAACACTTGACAGTCTTCTCGAATCAGAGTCAAGAAAACACTTAAATCTTTACGCATGTGAAACGTCCTCAGACCTCAATCCGAGTTGCTAAAATGCTCAAACCCAGTGCACGAATGAAACATTCCCGTTTGTATTTAGTTTTCACCACCACAACACTCGTAGAATGCACCGGAGATAAACATTTTGTTTTCAGCAATTATTTAAAGCATATATTATTATTTGGAGAAGAGTTTCAGAAGACACAGGTGAGTGTCAGAGATTCTACTTTCTATTTACGATAACGCTATATAGCGGAAGCATGCAAGACTAAATTATGCGCACGCACCTCGAACGGAAGTGGGTCCGTCATTTCGTTCTCTGGACAGAATTAATAAGCCGCTCGGCTCTCGCCAAGAGTGGCTTAAAAAGTCACTCGAACAATGACAGATTTTCTATAAATAGTGAGTGACCTTGACCTTGGGACCCCGGAATACAAACTTGTTTAAGGCATATTAATACCGGACAAATAAATTATTATGAAATAAAATAAGTTATCTTCGTTTGGGAGACGTGTCAGAATGGGAAAAGTGATGACTATAATAGTAATTATTTGGAAGTTATTAACTCAATGTAATGGAGGCATTGATTCCGGGTCAACAAACATGAACTTGGTGGAGATATTTAATACCTCAACCTTCATCCTGTAGGAAGCCCTCTAAAACATGACCTCAGTCAAGACATCAAAGTGATTAACACTTGCACAAAGTCTGGTGATGATGCCATGATAAATTAGCCTTTTAGAAAGAGCAGCGATAAAAGCTCCCCCCCCCCCCCCCCCCCCGCCGCAAAAAAAAACACGTTTAAAATGCTTACCTTCTGTTGGCTTCCAGATGTACTATCGCTGTCTGTACTGGTCTCAACAGCCGTTTTTGTTTTCGGTCTTCGACTAGGTAAAGACTTGACGAACTCTTCCTCCTCCTACCAAAACAACAGAACAGTAAACTTTTATCATAACATAATGTCTTACCATATCAGCCATCGTTGTCTTACAATGGTAAATATTTCCGCTGAATTACCACAAAATCTTGGCTATAATAATTCTATTGTTATTTTATTGTCTTTAGCTAAATAGCCTCATTAAGGTTCTTTGTCTGTACAGGTTTCATTCCGTTTTTTTTATTCCTTTCATTTCCTAACTTGCAAAAGATGTATTTCATTTCACAACTTAATATATCCTTATCAATATAAATGTACTGCAATACTGTAAAAAAACATCTCACAGCCATTATTTTTTGGAGACTTGTTCAAATGATGAGTTTCCCTGACTTTATCGTGCACAGATCTCAGGTCTGGTGACCATGGCACATGGTACTAAGGTTAGGATGATAAATTTGATATTCATTTCCTAGGTAGTATTCTTTACGGAAAAATTGTAATCACAAAAATCATGAAAATTGACACCCCGCAAAAAAATTCTATACAGTATTTTTCAAGCCTGGATTACCAGCATCAGGAACAAATCATCACCAGTTTCTATGTACAGCAAGACTTTGTTAGTCCGCAATATTCTCAACATGTATTTAATAGGGGTACATATACAAGATATCACAAACAATAGAGTTGAAAATGGATGTTTCTTAAAGGAGTTACAGGTACAATATCAAAATGATGTAACAACACAATAAATAAAAACGCAGGTATTCTTTCATGTTGAATTAACACTTTACTGCATCAAATTTAGGGTAAGTGGGAGACGATATCCCAGAACCATCATCCGACATTCATCAAATTGAAAAAAAGAGATTAGGAAACTGTTGGCAGAATCTAGATGACCCCAATCACTCATGATTAGACAAACTTTGTTTGCATTCATTAATTTATTACAAAAGCATAGTAGTTAGGCAAATAAGGTAGAGAACTCCAGCACTCCCCAGTCCCATCTCCACCAAAGAAAAGTTAAAATGTTTTGCCATTTTTCTGACTTCAAACTGCTTTCCCATTTTGTATATCAAACAATATATACATAAGAAATAAAGCTATTATAAATTTCCTTTTCACATTTTTTTTAATTAGCCAATGCACCTGGACCTTTAACTCATTCACCCCTGAAGACACATTTGAACTCTTCTAATTTAAATGTTGGAATAGTTCATTATGAAATTTTGGGGGTGAATGAATTAACTATAAATGAAGATTGGAGCTTATCCACTGCCCAACTGGTCATCATATTAAGTTATACTTTCCTGTTACATCACTGAAAATGTTTTCAAAAAGTCCCAACTCCCCAAAAAAGGTTTAAAACTTATATAAATTGTCTTTGTATGAACAGGAAATTCACTTTTCATGCCCTGTATATAGTATATGTGGTAGGGCTCACCAATCTAACAGGAATTTATCAAATACAAAATACGTCTCAAGTTTTTCCACAAAAACTTTGATATGCCAGGTTTTCCAGTATTCAAGATCTTATTGCTTTTTTCTCTTCTCAACACTTAAAATATCTATCACATAGTTCTATTAAAATATCTTTCCTAGCTAACTCATTCACCCCTGAAATTTCATAATAAACTATTCCAACTTTTGAATTGGAAGAGTTCAAATGTGTCTTCAGGGGTGAATGAGTTTAAGTACATCACTTTAACTAACAGCAATTTTCTACAAAGTTATACAAACATTTAATACAAGTGTTCAATATACCCATGATAAACTCGTATCTTTAATTCTAGTAGTCATCCAGTAGATTCTTAGACTGAAGTGGGCCCAATCAATACCTTAATTCTAATCATCATTCTATACGCTCTTAGATCGAAATGAAACCAATTATTTCCTTTATATAGTGATCATACCTTGTTTAACTAAGTGTGTACAATCAGTTTGTTGTTGACTAGAAGTGTCATCCTGTACATTCTTAGTGGGCCCAATTTACACTGCTCACAACATGAAACGTTTGTTTGTACTTAATTTCAAAGTTAACATTTTGATTTGCTCACGTCTAAAGAAGTCTTCTGAGTCTGACAACTACATCTGAACTTGTGTCAGTTTAATTGTTAATATAATTCCTGCATTTGTTTTCTGTTTTATATTACAGTACAATCATGAAAACCATGAAGGATAAATACACCACAAATGTTTCATGTCCTAGAGTAGAGAAACTGTAACTTCTCCACACTCCATTCAAACCCTGATAATTGAGTGTCCATCATCTCCAACAATTTGTTTTACGAATGTCTTTCCTTTACCAATTTTTTTTCTTTTCGTTTCTTCATTTCCTCCTCTGACATTGCTATTCTAACCCGCATTCGGAAGCGGCCAATATTGAACTCGTTGAATTTGGCCAGCGCTGCATCTGCATCAGCAACCGATCCCATATTTACAAATCTGAAACACAAAAAATCAATATTGGCTGAAGAAAATTAACATTATTTCCTTTTTCACTATGTTTAAACAACATTAAAGTACATAATAGTGTTTATCGCAAGTGTTTGATGTAGGATATGGAAATTCTACCCATGAGTGAAGAATTTTGGATCAGAACCATGGCCTGCAAAGGTTCTGACCCCAAATTCTATGCTAGAAGGTAGGATTGCACTTTAGCACAGTTCTTAGAAGTAATGAAATCAACCAATATATTGACTATAAAGAGACACAATTGATAGATTTAATGTTCCCTGCTTTGACTGTCAATCCTGGCTAGACCATTACCTGCTACTTCATACACAAGTCTGTATACAAATCATGAACAGCATGGAAAATTCATTGCTTAAATTGATAACTTTAGTCAAGACAAACAAGCTTTGATTTAGATATCAATTTGGAAAGAAGGAGGCAGTATAGTGCAGATGGAGGAAACTAAGGGCAAACTTGATTCTGACGTGCCGAATGCCGTGTTTGTCCTTGGCGCCGGCATGCTATATTCAAGTGAGGCAACATACGTGCAATATGGCCGACACATGTCACATTGTGTATTGCTTTGCCTGTGTCTCCAGTCCGGCGAAACTTCTTCAACGGCACATGCCAAACTTGCACGCGCACTTAAGGGACAGAATCAAGTGGTAGTGCCGCCTTCCTGGCAGAAACCAGCAATACTGGCACGCCAGAATCAAGTTCGTCCTAAATCATTAGCACTGCTTTTGGAAACATCAGGGGGTTAAAAAAAAAATCTTTCCTTCTTTCATCTGAAATATGTGTACTAAGAATGTCAGTATACATTAAAATGAAGCTATAGAACATCTACCCATAAGTGTCTCCAGCATCAGGGTTCTTAGAAACACACTTCTTAGTACGAAGACAAGCGCCCGCTTGGGAAAACAGGTTGTATAGTCCATCCTGAAATATACAATATACATCAGTAACAGAGACATTCTAATACTACATAGTAATAATGAAAGGCAGGGTTAGAAAATAACACTTGTCCACAAGGCTGAGACCAGCTTGTCTTCAAATAATATCATCTGATACTGTATAAAACAGGAATAGTCCTTTCCAATAACTGCTGAAATAATAGATAGTGTAAGTTAAATGTCAAAATTTTCCAAGACTTCACGGAATATGTGTTAAAATAAAAGGTTTTAATGTCATCTACAGTTAATTACTTCTTTTTCGTGCTGGGGATATTTTTTCAGGAAAACAGAACATTTTACCGACAAAGAACTAGCAAACGATACAAGAAGTCCCGTGAACTACCATGTGAAAACAGTGTCTAGCCCCTATGAAAGGTCACAGTATATCATCAATTACTTTTATAGAGAAAACATTGTAATATTTTCATACTGATACAAACATACACAGAAATCGGAATTGGGACCCCTCCATCCCCCATCCCAAAAAAAAGATGTCCAGAAATAGAAACCCTCATGATCATTGTATATACAATGGGTAAATTAAGGAGCTTTGAGAGTTCAGAAGCACGATTTAAAATACTCCAAAGTCGGACACAAAAATATTAGGCTCCACTATATTATTTAGCCTTATTTACAAGTATTGCTTAATATGTAGTGAATTTCAAATGTACATTTCTATATCAACATGAGTACCGCGGGACGGAACAATATATACCCGTCGAATGCCATATAGTGATATATACTTTCTTACATTGAAATAAGATCAGAGTGGTTAGCTGAGATGCTATAAAAAATGTAGAAGATCTCCGGAAAAAAATCAAATACTTAAATGAACAAAGGGCAATAAATTTTGCAAAAAACGTGGAATCAAAATTCTTTTCAAGGAAACACAACAACATATCAGGATTATTTAGCCTACTAAGGTTCAAAGAAATCCGCCAAAAAATGTAGGCGATCTCCGGACAAAAAATCAAATACTGAAATGAACAAAAGGCAATAACTTTTGGAAAAATTGATGAATCAAAATTCTTTTAAGGGAGACACAACTTCATATCATGATTATAATGTATACCAAGTTTCAAAGAAATCAGTCGAAAAATGTAGGAGGAGATTGCCGGACAAAAATCAAATACATGAAATACACAAGGGGCAATAACTTTTGCAAAAATTGTTGAATCAAAATTCTTTTCAAGGAAATACAATAACATATCATGATTATTTAGCCTATTAAGTTTCAATTGAAATGCGTCAAAAAATGTAGGAGGAGATCTCTGGACAAAAAATCAAATACTGAAATGCAATAACATTTGGAAAAATTGTCAAATCAAAATTCTTTTACAGGAGACACAACTTCATATCATGATTATAATGTATACCAAGTTTCATAGAGATTGGTTGAAAAATGTAGGAGGAGATTGCCGGACAAACAATAGTTTAAGCTGGATGGATGGACAACCCCATATCATAATACTTCCGTCAAATTTGACGGGCGTATAAAAATTAGGAGCCCTTTTCAAGTCCAACATCTGTAAATTAAGTTTGCAAAATATAGTTATACAATGTACCAACATATCTACCCCAGTTCTTCGTGATCTGAAGTGGAAACCCAACAATTACTTTGCTTGGCCTTCCATGTTCTAATTACCAGTAGACACAAAAACAACACACAGTAGCTGCAGGTTTCCTTTGTACAAGCTCAAACTGTTTTAACTGTTTTAGTTCTGAAGGTAATATATTTCTACAATTTTGTTCCTGGCATAGAATTTGGATGGTTTACATTTTGCAAAACAATAGTCCAAACTAACTCTCTATGAGAAGAGTGACAATTTCAGTTATATTTTGCACAATTTTTCAGGCTGCAAATATAGTGGAACTGTTTTTCAAGTTAATCATTTTTGTACAAAAATTAAAGGAAACAAATGATTATATATGAATGACTGCTTGTCTATCCTTTACTGGGTATATAACTATTATACTTACATCTGTCAGATCATTGGGAATACCAGTGATGTACAGCTGAATACCTTCAGACTTGCTACAATAAAGAAAGAATTGAGTTTGTTAGATGGATGGGAGAAATAAAGATCATTTACTAGTCCACTTTAGTTTCTCTAGTTTTTGAATTGCATCCAGGAGTTTTCACCAATCTCGCAAAGATTTTTTTTAATTGGATGTGTTTGTTTTCCAAGAACAGCTTTGTTAGACAGTTTTGGCTAGTGTAGTAAAACTATACAAGAAATGTTAAACCTTGCACATTTTGCTGTGTTCAATATTGTAATACCAAATTCAATTGGATGGACTGCAATTAAGTGGTGGTTTAAATATATTTTGCAAGCATCTACAATGTTTCGCATCTTCTCAAGTTAAGTGAACCTGTGATTTTTCATTTTTGGGAGTAAATGTATTTTCATTTCATTTTAAGGCAACAGGACATTCCCCAAAACTGCCTCCAGGGATTAATACAGGAATAGAAAGGTATTACCCTTTCTTGAAATGGGGGAAAATGTGTGCTGTAGGTGCATGACCCATCCAGCCAAGGCTGCAGGAAAGAGCCAGAGGGAGAGTACGGGGGGAGGAGCATGGATTACATCTTTAATTTTGTTTCTCGCTGTTCATTATAGATTATAAAATATCAGCAGTGACAATTAACAACACCGGGAAAACGAAATAAATCACTCAGTTGTGGGGAAAAAATGGAACCAAGACAGATATTCATATGGTAGTATTTTAGTTACAAGTGGGTGAATTTTTAACTGAAATAGTAGAAAATATTGGAGTGGGGAACTGACCCATATTCGGCCATAAAAAGGCCTGTATATATCCATGACCTGATCACCAACTCTTCTATCTTTAATTTGTTTTTCATTTCACATACCAGTACATACATTCAACATCAAATTTGAAAGCTAACTAATTTTTCCAAGATAACAACTTGCTACAACTATTTTGACAGACAAGCAATAACTTCACCTGGGACTATATCAAAATCTACGATATCTGTACAACTATTTTGTGTAAAAAGGTTTGACACAAATTGCCCTTGACCCTGGAAGTTACAGTAACCAGTCAATTTTAACAAAACTAATACAAATGTACCCGACATCATGGCCATTAGAATAATAATGCCTGGTTAACATTGAACTGGTGGAATGAAGAATATTTGAAAATGTCTTAACCAATCAGAGGACAGGATAGCTAATTTAGACTTGTTTTGATTGGAAAAATAACACCATCTGTTCAGGGCTAAGATAGCATTGTTCAGATCCTGTTTGGTTAGCAATGGCCTGGTGGAAGTTGAGTCTCCAACAAGCAGAGAACAGTGTTCCCACTGAATCTAAGCTTTGGGAGTGTATTAGATACATTTTCTAGATTCTGTACCCCTATACATAGATAAGGCAATTCTTGAAAACTGGGGGTACAACCAACTGTTTTGAGGGTGAAACACTCATTTGGGGGTTTCTAAGAACACTGATTGTGATTCTTTATAAATTTAACAATACTTACTCCGACCCATGGCCTTAGCAACGTGCCCATATAAATGCACCCACATATAACCATCACAACTAGTTTAACATTCAATTAGTACCTTCTCTCAATTTTGCTGGGCAAATACTGTCCTGGCCCTCGGTCATATGTGTTGAACTTCTGGCACTCATAGTCATCAAGACGAGGGTCCCAACCGTCCATTCCACTGAAAAGTGTCAAACAAAACTAAATTTTCTTCATGCTTTTGAATATGAAAACAGATTTTGTGTGGCAGATTCTGAAGATAATTTAACATTTTGGTTTGGTTTATTTGTGTTTGACATCCTATTATTTAACAGCTATGGTCATTTAAGGACGAGCCAGGTTTTGGTGGTGGAGGAAAGCTCAAGTCCACGGAGAAAAAACCACCGCCCAATGGCTGGTGATTGCCCCACATAGGTCTCTAACCTGCGACCCAGTGGTGGAGGGCTATAGTGGCAGCAGAATGTCAGACGCCTTAACCACCACTCTAATTAAACAGGAGTCCGGAAAATTGCCAAAGGTACATACATTACATTCACACATTACATTCACACATCTTTTGTGATAAATATCTTCATTCACCCAAATTTATGCTGAATGTTGGTATTGATAATAACCCTGCATGGGTTATTCTGTTCTATTCAAACAGCGTAGATGTTATTTACCCACTAAGGTATCTGAAACAGTTTTCTGTTATACAAGGATTTTTTTATAAACAAAACATCTTACTTTCCATCTGCAGCCATTTATTTCTTCTGTATGAGAGCATCTGAAATCAGTTAAAATAAATAAATGAGAAACTCAATTACTAAAATATACACCACAAACATTTTTAAAAAAAATTATAATAACCAAATAATCTAAAGAATAATGGAGCTATAATTACTCAAATCTGAACACAAAATTTTAAAATCTAAATAATTAATAGAACACGTATATACTGGCTATAGCTGTCATATTGAAAAATTTCCTACCAATTTGAGAGTGTGATCATTATTAGATTGAAAACTTACTGATGTCAATATCCTACTCCTCCACCGCTGACCAGCCCAGCTACATAGATGTGCTTGTCACAGATAACTGAACTGCATGCATAACTGTACGTGGCAACATCTTGTGAACCGATCTGTTTGTTTTTGATTTAGCGGCCAATCGACAAAATAAGGTCATTAAATGGCCAATGCACGGTAAAATTGTATTGCGATTGGTGACCAAGGGAGGCCATTTCATGAAAGTTGAACCTGATAGTTTTAGAGACCTTTCTTGTATGTTACCAGCTCATTGGGGTTCGAGTATGTTATTACTGGAGTTTCCTCCGTAAGTATCAGTACGTACTGTATTGTGTCTTTTCGTATTGCAGAGTTATCTGCTCTTGTGAGCAGGTATTGATGGTTACGTCATTTGTTTGCGAGAACGTCATAAATTTTTGAGAAAGACGTAATTTTCTCACACAAACTAATGACATAACAATCAATACTGCTCACAAGAGCAGATATCTCTGCAATACGAAAAGACGGAATATGCTGTAACAGTTTAGCCTTTTTTTTTCATGTTTCATTTCTGTTTTAGTTAACACCAAACATTTGTTTTAAGTTGAATATGTACGGATTAAAATCTTGAATTGAAATAAAACAAGGAAATATTGAAATAATATTAATACTAAAATTGGTTGTGCAAACCAAACCCAAATATCCAAAACTGAACTGAATAAAAGCTGAAATGTAACAGCCCTAACCACAACACTGATCTCTTCAATCAAGACCTTTAAAGATGCAAAGCATGATGACGATCAGTGCAATACATGACTAGCAGTCATCAGGTTGGGGAAAACCACCAACTTGCGTATAATACGCAAACTCGCCTATTATACGCCAGTTGGAGTATGGATTTGTTACTAAAATTAACCCATATCGTTTTAACAGTAACTTTTTCAAGATATTATTAAAAATTGCACTAATTTACGACAAGGTTAATAATATTTTGCTAAAAGATGTTCACTGAAAGCATTGGCTACTTAGAAACTCGTGTAACTTTACCGGAAGTATTGCATCTGTTTTTGGTACTTTCCCACATGCAAATTAAGTTTATTTTTGCATTTGTATTATGTTTCATGAATGAATAAATGTGACTTGGACAAACAATTTTAAAAAGTTGAGATTAAAGTGATTTTGGCTATTTTTAGTAACAAATCCATATCCCTATTGGCGTATAATAGGCGAGTTTGCGTATTATACGCAAGTTAGTGGTTTTCCACGACCTGGTCATATCATTTGGCTGTATTATTCAACTAACACAAAAAAACACCTCAGGCAAAATAACTTGGTATGTACATCAGCACAGGTGGGTTTTTTTTTGTGCAGTTTAAAATTGTATTTGCGAGTACTCGAAAGAGTATTCACAGATAGATAGACCCATTTTCATGTTTATATAAAGTTTAATGCACTCCACCAGTACTTCTAATTTTTAACTATTCTAAATTTTGGATTTCACTTTTCTGATTGAAAATTGCAATATCTTATTGTTAATTATAAACAAAAAATATTACAATTCGCATTCTTTAAATGCGATAAAATCTCAGAAAGTTTAGCAACGCCCCAACCTGTTTCTGACGGGAAAATTGTCAGATTGCAATACAAAACTATGGTTGTTTTAGTTTTCAATTTTATTTGCCCCTACTTCCAAAGTTCTATGGTAATTTCAAAATAGTTCAGACATTGAAGCTAAAAGAACACAAAATAATGATTGTCAGGTCTTCAAAAATCGTGTTTACAATAGTAACCCCGCGACAATTAATACACCAGAGGTTGTATGCAGATTATCGGAAGAACTCTTCCTCCTAACCAACAGACTAATACACACATGCAACTTCAAACAATTAATGAATTATTGCCATTATGACATCAACTGTTTTGCAATTATGGCAGAAAATATAATTCTGTTTAATCGAAAAATATTTGGAAACATTGCTTTCAAAAATCACAAATATGCAAAAGGCTGCATGAGCCATGGCTTCCTTCCCGCCATCACTCATCTGTGCAGCGATCATCTCATTCCGAAAGTAAACATCAACAGTAAGCCCAATGTTGACAAGTGCAACGTGACCTTCCTCAAATATTTCAGCAAATTACAAATCTTAATCATTACAAATATGTTGCATCGTCAAAGAAAACGTACCAAATAACTATTACAGAAATTTTGAAGTTTGTCAGGAGCACATGCTTATCCATCCATTTAGCTACTTTTGCATTAACTCAATGCAATCAGTTGAGCGTTTGTAAGACATGCTCTATTAGAGTAAAGCGTTTGATCTACATTGATGTCAATATTATGCCTCCTATTACATGTTTGTTGCTATTTGACACCTTAACACATATGAAATAATTCACTGGTTGAATATTAATAATTAAAAAATGGTTTATATGTTCTATGCATGATATGAAAAGAAAATCGTTGCATTTGTAACGACGACAGGACAAAGTTTTAAAAACGTACTATAACACCGAAGTGGTATGAAGGTTCCGTGGTGTAGTGGTTATCACGTCTGCTTAACACGCAGAAGGTCACGAGTTCGAAACTCGTCGGAACCTGATGTTATTTTTTATTTACTAACAAAATAACGAAATGTCTGTACTCCAGAAGAATTATTTCATTCTAATTTTTTTTTTAAATTCCCGCAGAAACATGCTTCATGTTAGTCATGTAACAGTTATTTGTCAAGTAACGTACACGTACGTGGCCAATATTCACTGTCTTGATTTATGACAAATACTACATAAACGTATTGGTGGATTTTGCCGCGCCGGTAGCGGTCAAGTTTTGGGAAAATAAGTTTCCAGGTGAACGGGTTGATCAAGTGTTTAGCATTGTAAATGCACCTAATTATCCTGTTGAAGTCATTGAAGTACATTTTAAAATTGTGCATAATGCTATATTTACGCGTCAGAAAATATTCAAGATTTGTATATCTGATACGGATACTTGTCCTGGTTGTAAAGTAACAACGGAGGATCTGTGGCACATGTTTTTAGTTTGCCCTGAATTACAAAATTTCAATTGTTTTTTTAGAAATTTACTTGATAAGTTATTTGCTAGTGCGGTACTTACTGGTAATGTAAATAGTATCAATATTGACCGCCTAGTTTTATTGGGATTTTATGAAAAGTGGAAGAGAGTATACAGTTATATGATTAATTTTACATTGAGTGTTGCGAGGTATTGTGTATATAAGCGGAGAAATCTTGTAATGTGTAAAGAAGGAAATGTTGACATTGAAAAGTTTTTTAAATTCACCTTCAAACGTTTTGTAAAATATATTTTTACATATTATAACAAAGAGAAAAATAGGGCAATATTTGCCAAATATTTCATTAAGAACAATGACGTTATTTTGTTGCGAGCTGGTGATGTTCAAATTGTGTTTTAAATTTTGGAGTAAATGTATGCTTGTATGTTCTTTTTAATTGATTTTATATAGTGTTAATTGTTCTGATATTACTTAAAACAACTAAGTCAAGTAATAAATCTATACTTAAAAGCATGTACAATCTGTGATAATTTTTTATTGATTGAAAATACAGTCATATGCACTGTGAGGAACCTCGGGGGTCCCAAACCCCGGGGCCCTATGACTGGACCAATAAATGCTTGATACATTCTCAAGAAAAGAAAAAAACACGTCTGCTTAACACGCAGAAGGTCACGAGTTCGAAACTCGTCGGAACCTGATGTTATTTTTTATTTTTTCATTATATGGGAATTAAGTGGGAACTTTACAAAATAACGAAATATCTATACTCCAGAAGAATTATTTCATTCTAATTTTTTTTTTAAATTCCCGCAGAAGCATGCTACATGTTAGTCATGTAACAGTTATTTGTCAAGTAACGTACACGTACGTGGCCAATATTCACTGTCTTGATTTATGACAAGTACTATACAAGCTTAAACACGTCTAAGTTATATACATCTAAACACGACTAGTTTATATGAAACGACATATCCGATGTACGCCATACCCCGATCAGATAAACTAAGGTTATTTGAGCATCCACCTTACAGAAAACTTTCATATTGTGTTAGAGTTGTCTCCCTCCAAATACTTCACTAACAGATTGATACTATTCTTGTTACTAGGGGTCCATCATGCTTTCACTTTCCAACCATATTGCTGTCACAACAGTTATATGCCACAGGGACCTGAGAATGTGTTACAGCTATTATATTTTGGACCTTTTACACGTTTAAGGGGTTTAGATCAACTTTAGGTAAAAAATATTATTATTAGCGACTTAATCAATAAAGACACTAATTTGTTCTTTTCAGGAATTTCCACAGGTCTTTGGTATAAATACAAACTTTCTTAATTACCAAGGACTTATTTCAGCTATTCGAAAACATATACAGAAACAAGATTTATCATGTCCTATCTATCCTTTCATACCAATTAATCTAGAAATACTTTTCCGCAGTAAAAAAAGGGACAAAAGATTTTTATTATTTACTCAATAAAAATAATACAATATCCATTGGAAGAAAAATATAGGATGAAGTTTTTAATTTTGATAATGAAACATGGAGGAAAATACATAAATGCCTTTTCATATAACCAAAAATTCAAAATTACAGTGGCTTCAATACAGAACCTGACAACAAACTCATTCTTATTTAAGACAGGAATAGCTGATAGTCCTTATGTTAACTGACATTGAAACAATAGAACATATCCTATGGGAATGTGATAAGGTGCAGGTTATGTTACAGAACATATCCTATGGGAATGTGATAAGGTGCAGTTATGTTACAGAACATATCCTATGGGAATGTGATAAGGTGCAGGTTATGTTACAGAACACACCCTATGGGAATGTGATAAGGTGCAGGTTATGTTACAAAATTTTGAGTTTTTATTAGATGCTGTCATGATCCCTTTTGCTTACAATAAGGAGACTTTTATCTTTGGACTATATAATCAAGATGGAATAAGAACACCAATAGACAGTACAATTATTTTGATTATGAAACAATATAATTATTCAGCAAGATGCCTACAAACAAATTTATCTACAAATGGTCTTAAAAAAGCAATCAAGGACACTTATACTACACAAAAATATATTGTAACAGGTAAAGATGACAAACACAATAACAATTTTTAAAATGATTGGAAAAAATGGCAGAAGTTAATTAATATCTCCTAAATCTTCAATTTGCTGAACTTTATTCAATACTGTTTACAGTTATAATATATAATATTATTGGTCACTAGTAAATGAGTTGTTTTGTGTCCATTTTTCCTATCCATAACACAGCTATAACTATACATATATTGACATTTGCAGCTGACAACACATGCTCTTTACTCCCTCCTGTTTTCCTTTGCTAGTCATACATATAGATATATAGATATTTGCTACTGATTGCCTCTCTCTCTCTCTCCCAGCTTAACATTTTTTAAGTTGCAATGTCGATCCTGCATTTTATAAATAATACGACTTGTAAATTACACAAAATATCCTATTGAAAATATACATGTAAGTATAAAAAGGGAAACAAATTCACATTTGATAAGCTGATATTGAAAACAAATGAAAATAAATTACGAAAGTATTCGGTGCGGCTTCCGCCATCGCTAAATCTACAACTCTGACAGTGTCGATAAATTTCAAATTGCGCCTAATCTTATTATAAGGTATAAATCGATGAGATGGTTGTGATCTAATTCTTGCGTCACTTAAGGAAGCTAAATTGTAACTCATGATACGCTATTCTTGTTCCCAACATGGTGTGGTGTTATTTACGTGTCTCGTTTTTACCTTTTGTAATCAGACATTTAAACGATCGAAGAGCTCCAAATGGAAACACACGAGGGTGTATTTCCGGTCTACAGGAAACAGTTATTGCAGATTATGGGATATACTTCCGGTCGGACTGGAAAAGACACATTTATAAAACGAACGCCGGAAGGGAATCCATGATGAAAACTTGCAAACGACCATGGATGTCTTTTAAGTCGGCTGTGTGGGCGAACAGACATAACACACTTTGAATAAAAGATGGGAGATCAAATCGATTAATTTGTTGTTCGTTTTGTTGCATTGCTTCCTGCTGAATCTTAAAGTGATGCGTCCAATCTCTTAATTTCATCAAATAAAACTAGTTTGTATTGCAACAGCATCACCAATCCCGCATGTAACGTTTGATACCGGTACTCTAAAACCTAAAACTCAATTTCAAGTGAAGTAATATAGCCAATATTATTATTATACAATTCAATTACGTGAATGAAATGATCAAAATTCAACAATTGTCCCCCTCTTCCTAGATATCTCGGATACATGTGGCTAGTTCTCTGGTTACCGTAGATATCTCGGAGATACGTGCCTAGTTCTCTGGTGACCGTAGTTATCTCGGAGATAGGTGTCTAGTTCTCTGGTTACCGTAGATATCTCGGAGATACGTGTCTAGTTCTCTGGTTACCGTAGTTGTCTCGGAGATACGTGTCTAGTTCTCTGGTCTAGGACTAGAGTTACCGTATATATCTCGGAGATACGTGTACAGTTCTCTGGTTACCGTAGATATCTCCGAGATAGTGTCTTGTTCTCTGGTTACCGTAGATATCTCGGAGATACGTGCCTAGTTCTCTGGTGACCGTAGTTATCTCGGAGATACGTGTCTAGTTCTCTGGTAACCGTATATATCTCGCAGATACGTGTCTAGTTCTCTGGTTACCGTAGTTGTCTCGGAGATACGTGTCTAGTTCTCTGGTAACCGTATATATCTCGGAGATACGTGTCTAGTTCTCTGGTTCCCGTAGTTATCTCGGAGATACGTGTCTAGTTCTCTGGTAACCGTATATATCTCGGAGATACGTGTCCAGTTCTCTGGTCTAGGACTAGAGTTACCGTATATATCTCGGAGATACGTGTACAGTTCTCTGGTTACCGTAGATATCTCCGAGATAGTGTCTTGTTCTCTGGTTACCGTAGATATCTCGGAGATACGTGTCCAGTTCTCTGGTCTAGTACTAGAGTTACCGTATATATCTCGGAGATAAATGTCTAGTTCTCTGGTTACCGTAGATATCTCGGAGATACGTGTCTAGTTCTCTGGTTACCGTAGATATCTCGGAGATACGTGTCTAGTTCTCTGGTCTAGTACTAGAGTTACCGTATATATCTCGGAGATACGTGTCTAGTTCTCTGGTTACCGTAGACATGCACATCTCTTGGTAACTGTCTAGTTCTCGG